CGATAAAAAGGCCAAGACAACCAATATTGGGTATATTCAGGATTTAGCGGGAACACCAACATGCAGAAGCCTTATCTGCTGGATAGCCTTATCCGCCCCCTCCCATCCCCCTCAGAGTGGCCACCTTTCTATTATTCCTATCTCGACTTTATACAGTAGGGACTCCTGTGCATCCCACATCTGTGTCCTCTGTCCCACGCGCTTTTCTCAACCATTACAACTATTTAATCTCTTAACATGTTTTTCTGAGCCGCCTTTAAATGCAACACGATGCTTGCGCCGGACTTTTGGGGGGCAGTGACGGGAACTTGATTCTATGCAGATTTGCAAGCGGTGTGTGTTAGAATCATGGCAGCAAACCAGCAAAAGGTAAAGAACTCTGCACAGTTTTTTTTTTTCAGTCAAATAACGAGTAAGTTGAGTAATGCTGTTTGATGCAGACAACGTTAGCTAAATCATGACAAGTACAAGCCAATAGATTATTAAGCTTGTTATCAAGAATAAGCTACTACCCATAGTTTTGTTGTTATCTATTCAGGGGCGGTGTCATGATATGAGGGAAGACAGAAGAAGTAATTCCGTTGGAAAGGCAGAACTCCTTTATTAGCAAGAGCACGAGGTAACACATGAACAGCTTCTTCGTTGAACTTGTTTTCCCGTATATCTCTCTAGTGCTCCCCCCAGTGGTCAGGAAACCAAACTACCGTTACACTAGATATACAATAGAAACTAATCTCACAACAGGCGGTATTGGTTACTCTACTTGAGTAACTTTTTGGTGTGGAAAGAAATTGTAGGAGTAGCAAATTTTCAAGTTTTGGAGCTCAGAAATGTTCTTGATATTTTTGTTCTAGATCATTTCTGAGCTTTTTAATGGAAATGTACTCCCTGTTTTTTTCCACCTACAGTGACCCTAATATGCTGTTGTACTTACTTGAGTAGATAGATTTTAGCATTTAAAGAAATATACTTCACAGATTGAAAAGACATATGCTTACGCTTACTCTAACATAAGAATTTTCTACATGTCATGTTAGCAATTATTTTGTATTAATACAATTAATACAATTTATTTGAAAGGCTACATACTTGTTTATGTATTAATATTAAATTAAAAGCTTGTTTATTGTGCTCCTTCCGCCCCTCCAAAATAAGCCACTGCCCCCCAGCTAAATTGCTCTGGAGTGAGATGTGCAAGTTGCTCAGTCATTCAGTATATTTAGAAACAACTATTTTTTCTTGTAAAAACAACAAAAAAAGAATTTAATTATCTGAACTGAAAATTTGTCATATAGCGAAAGTAAAAAACAACACTCTGGAAAAGAAGCTGAGAGTGTGTACCTGGCAGAAGGCAGGAGGTTGAGGACACTGTTGAGAATGAACTGCAGGTCTGCATGGCCCTGATCCACTAAAAGCACCACGGCATCACAGCATGTTGAACGCACCAGAGCGCAGTCACTGCTGCACTGCTCCCAGAGAGCCTCCAATGCTGGGCCCTGAGATGTAACACAATCAGGTCATGTCAGGTCAAACAAAAGAGCCATGAAAACATGTAAATAAACATTTTTTCATAATTTGTTCTACTACAATCATGAAAGGTATATCTTGGAAAAGAGAAACTGATATAAGATGTGTGTGTAGGATTCACAGTACTCAACTGTATCAAGACATGTCAAGTGATATAATTGACTTTTCAAGTGGTGTAACTATCTGTTTATATTCTTTAATATTAAGAAATCAACTGATCTTCTGGATTACAATTTCAATCAATGGGTGAGTTAGAAAGTTTAAACCAAATTTATTAGAAATCAGGTCATGTTGTCAGTCTCACTTTCAAGTTTAAAGGATTCACCATGTCAAGGTGAGTGAAGCATATTCATAACATGTCAGATCTATAGCACATGTATAGTAAAACTTAAGTGCATTATACAAGATTTGTGAATTTTTACATGTGCAGCACATCTATGACAGTCTAGCTTATCTGGTCATCCTACAAAAATGTGTTGATTTTATGCAAAACTGCTAAATTTTTGCATGTTGGAAAATTATATGAGAGCATAATTTTCCAACTGCATGATGGCTTCCATGTCACTGCACAAAAAGCAGATATACATTAGCATGATGTGGATATAAGATTTATTTTAGTTTTTTTATTCTGCTCCAGACAAAAGAGGTTTATGATTCATACTAAGGTGTACTGATAAATCTGCAGTAATTTTCTTCATTTTGGGTGATGAGCCAATACTTGCATTAGAAACTGATCTTATCCACCAATTATATCTACCTCCGCAAAGCTCTGAAAATCAGTCATTGTCCCCTTTTCTTCAGCCACGAGAAAGAGCTGACTGATAGACCCCCCCAACATATCATGTCTGCATGTGTGTGGTTAACAACAATCACCCCACTATTGCCAATTTAGTGATTTTGTTGCTACATTTAGCCACTTTTTAGATGAAAAATTGGAATCGGCCAAAATCAGAATCGACAGCTCAGGCCTTTTAAATATCACCCAGATAGCAAAATATGGGTGAATCAATGTTGAAATTTAGTTAGGCAGAAACATTGAATCCACATTGAAGCCTGACATTGAAATGATATTGAAAGTGGTCAGTGATTTATATGTTGAATCAACGTTAGGGTTTCAGCCATAACATATCAATGTTGATTCAGCCATCATCTGAATGTGGATCTACATGCACATTTGTGCTGATTTTATATTGAATCAAAGGTAAGGAAACAATATTGATTAATGTACACTATTTGGTCTTATATATCTACACCATAAAATGCCATTAAAAGTTTGTCCCCTAGTGTTAAATACAATTTTGTTGGCAGACATTGGTATTATGTCGTTCACAAATATCTTACATTACCATATTTCCAAAAATGTATGGACACAAACTTAAAAATAACAATGTGGAATTAATATTACATTTTATTTAGGAAAACAGGCATAGATCTGTAAATATATTTGACTGCTTTTTGGCTTTCAGAACAACAATCCATTGTCCATGGAAGAACAGCGTCCATGAGGGTAAGCCTTGTACTGTATGAACCAGGGAAACAGTATGTGTTGGGGTAACCCAAGCTTGACTCTGATTGGTGTCACTTTGGTTCCTTGATATCTTTCTCCTGCTTTTGGGTCATAGCGAAGTCACGTGTTGACAGTTTTGCTGTAGTGTCAGTCAGCTTTGGGTCAAACTGCTGAGCGTCAGCTGAAAAACACAAAAATAAGAGTGAGGAAGGCACCGGTTAAGAAGACGACAAAAACATTTGAAAAGTTTTAAAACACATTGAGGTTTTAAATAATGTACCAGTTATAGGTCTGAGAACAAACGCAGAAAACATACTTGTACACTCATAGTTAAAGGACATGTCAATGAATATTTACGGATTTTTATTTTAATGTTAGTTGACATATGTAATTACATTTACCTATCAAGCTGCTGCATAGGCACAAAACAATGCAGATATTTTTCTATAGACATATAGAAAATTTAGGATAAAAGTAATATCACCAAACTTACTGCAAAAATTCTCAGAGAAGAATTCAATTCAGAAGCAGCCTGCACCAAGCCAGCAGCAAAGGGGCTGTGTGGTTGGGATATACCACTAGTGTAAAAAGGGGAAGGTGGACCGCTTCACTGCTTGTAGTGACTTGTAGATGTTTTTATGTCAACACATAATGCTCAAACAGTCAGTAATGATATTTACAGACAAGTAAGAAAATGTACAGAAAGGAATTACAACTCACTACTCTCAACCTGTAGTGCTTAATTTAAAACATGATAAAACCCTGCCGCCCGATAATAAAATGCTCTCACCCGGAGCTCAATGAGGAGGAGGAGAAGAAGAAGAAAAGGGGCGCGACAAACAGCATACATTGATTCAACATTGATTACCAGTGTTTCCCAACCCTGGTCCTCAAGGCACACTGACCTGCATGTTTCAGATGTTCCCCTGCTTCAGCACCCCCATTCAGATGATTGCAATTCAGTAAAACCCTGTTAATCAGCTATCAATTGAAATCCTGTGTGCTAAATTAGGAAATGCCTAAAACTTGCATCTACATGAATTATCATATAGTTATATGCTTTGAGGACCAGGGTTGAAAAACACTGGATTAGATGTTGGTATTTAAATTCTTAGAAGTCAACCATAAAACAACATTGATTCAATGACAACTTTTCAACATTAGTTAATTGCCTAGAATTGGATGATTGATTGATGGTTGATCCACCATTAATCGTCGACCTCAACCAAAATTCAACCTCTTGGTTGACTTTTGGTTGAATTAATCAATTCAACTTATTAATTAATTCAATTAACTAATTGAATTAATTAATGTTAATTCAATTCAACGCTGAATTAACATCTCTTGTTATCTGGGCCTTGATCGATCAGAAAACTGCAATCATTGCATTTCTAATTTCTTGAAGGTATATCGGCAATAAAAAACTTACAAATCAGGGTATGAATCAAGAAAATTTATTTACATTTAATCAAAAAACACTTCTTATTTCCCAGATCTATCTTAGATTATTGAAGCTTTAAGGCTAATCAAAATAATTTATGAACTCACCTGGGTGGAGGACTGGGTGATTTGCCCATTTGAGCCTTTTTCCTTCAGCACAGCAGCAACAAGAGTTCTCACCGTCTGACGAAATAGGCAGGTTTTGGTGAGACTATACAAACTGCAGCCAAGTAGCCACAAACAGCTTGCAGCTTTACTTTGTCAATTACAACATCTATCAGACACAATGACAAACAACATCTACATGAATTATCATATAAACAATATTTCTGCTCCCTCACTGACCAATCAGTTTATTAGGTATCTATCGGTAGTTTATCAGCTGTTGTTTGGCAGCCCCAATGACTGACTCCCATATATTGGTTTTTAATTATGTTTTTGCCCTTTATCCCAAGTGAAAGAGTATATTACATATTTACATAGGGGTGTAGTGATACAATAATTTCACGATGCGATACGATATACAATATTCTGGTCACGATACGATATGTATCACAATATTTGTTTAGCGATACAATTTGCTACGATTCAGTGCATTTTTACAATTTTCTGAAAGATTTTAGAAGGACAGAGTGATTTTAGAGACATTTTGTTTTACTTAGACTTAAATTTAGTTAACTGAAAACTGATAAAAAGCACCAACTACACAATACCTGACTCTGATTGGACAGTCTGCAGCTGGACAAAATTAATCAATGACGCAGTGAGAGAATTAGTTTCTGTCATTTAATTCATGTGGATTTGACATAAAACTCAAAGTTTCAACAGTGATCCAGGAGCAGAGTGGGGAGATTATCAGCCTCTGTAGACGCTCAATATGCAAATGATTGCACTTATGTTTTTTCTTCTGGACACTGTGGCTGCATTTTGGAGTAAAAATGCAGCCACAAATGCAGTCTTTTGGAAAAAAGGCTTTTCTACCTTGTCTCCCGGAGTTAGCCATGGCTATAAGCTGCTTTCGTCTAACTGCTAAAGTCGTGGCTCCGCCTCACCCCGTAGTGATCGACTCCCTGCAGCTACGCAGCGCCGCTATTCCCCTGCTTGGATCTCTGAGTAGCTGCCTCTCAGACTGCCAGCATCTCATAGTACTCTCAGTCTCTGATACTTTTTGTCTGTTGCTAATAAGAATGATCGATCAGCCATTGTTATCATGGAAATCCTCACTGCGCCGCGGATTCCGGCTGGGGTTTTTTTCCTCTTCGTCTTCCTGCTCAAAACACAGCGCCGCTGCATGCTGCGCGCCCGCTTCGGATAATATCAACCCATGTTCATTCTTCAGGTAATCCTTTATATACAGAACAGAAGCCGCTAAGCTAAAAACTAATTACGAAGTGAATGCTACCAGTCTAAATTTGCATTAATTTCGCGATTTCACTGCTTTTGCAGCTGCTCCGTTAGCGCCGCTTCTCCGTTCCGCTTCTCTTTCACGGTTACTTGCGCAACTTTACTTCGTTCCTCAGCAACAAAATACAGCCCATTGTTATTTATTGAAGATTTTACATTTCCAAAAACACAGGAATGTAATGTTTCGTTTCGTTTTGTACGTTTGGAAGCTCATTCCCTCTCGCATAATCGGAAAAGCCGGGGAATGGCGGCGCTTTTGACATTTCTC